CTTCCAGCCATGTGGCCTACAGGGGGCTTCAGCTTTCTTTGCTTAGAAAATGCATGTGTTGCCCACTTTGCATGGATGATACGCGTCATCCTCAACCTAGTGTAACTTTGAGCCTAGACCCACCATGTGTCCTTGTGTTCTTCACTGCCTCTGTGCATAGATGCATGTCAGAAGGTTTCTGCCCATGAACATGTGCCTCTGTGTTGCAGACGCCCCTGTGTCAGTGCTGATTGTCGGGCTCGGCGGGGGAGGGCTGCCCCAGTTTTTGCGGGACTGGGTGCCCAAGGCTAAGGTGCAGGTGGTTGAGCTGGACCCTGCGGTGCTGGAAGTGGCCCGTGATTGGTTTGGGTTCATGCCGGATGACAGGTTGGGCGTCACTCTGGGAGATGGGCTGGAGCACATCAACACCTTGGACAAGCAAGGTCAGTATGACTTGACATAAAAATGGTGACAAACGAGTGCAGGCCACTCTGGCTTGTTTGGTAGTTTTTTGATCAGTTAATTGATCCAAGAATCTTACACAGCTGTTTTTTTTAAAACAAAAAAATAGTGTATTGGCTTCAACAACTTGGTTGGGTAGCTTGTTCCAGTCTCCCACAACCCCTTGTGTAGAGAAATGCTTTCTGTTCTTGATACAAAGACTTGGGGGTTGGAGAGCATTCGGGGTCCTGTAAAATACTTACTATTATTGTCCCAGATGGGTACTTTACTGTGCAGGCAGATGTAGGACATAACACATTACACAATACATTTCACACAACATGAACCCACAAATAATAAACTTACATGTATGATGAAAAAAATATATAAGTATAAGTAAAGTAAAATATACTATCAGTTGTCAAGATGAAGGTGGTAAATAGCTGTGGGAATAAAAGATAACTTGGTTCTATCGCATTAGAATCTACAGTAGGCATTCTAAATTGCCACCCAGATAGGTGCTTAAGTAGGGAATAAGTAACAGTTTGGGGTCAGAGAGAGATTGGGAGTCAACACATGGATTCAGAAACAGGCGAGGATTATGGGGATAAATACTTTTCTGTAACTTCATTCCCATTCTGATTTCTCTTCCATCCCCTCTCTTTAGTCCTCCTTTCACACCTTCCCCTTTTTAGTTTTTCCTTTTGACTCTGTAC